CAGGCTGGAGTGCAGTGATGCTATCTTGGTTCACTGCAGCCTCCACCTCCTGGGTTCAAGTGATTCTCTTGCCTCGGTCTCCCAAGTAGCTGGGATTACAAGTGCACACTACCCCACCTGGCTAATTTTTGTATATGTAGTAGAAACAGGGTTTCACCATGTTGGCCAGGCTGGTCTCTAACTCCTGACATCAAGTAATCTGCTTGCCTCGGCCTCCCAAAATGCTCGGATTACAGGTGTGAGCCACTGCACCTGGCCAAGGCTTACATTTTAAATGTATAACTCTACTCAAGTATCTCACACACATACCCTTCAGGAATTTTAATTGATAATAGTGATATTTATAGCTTGGCATTCAAGGTCTTTCATAGGATTACTCTAGCATACCTGTCTACTATTTCCTGTCTTTGAGCAACTTTAGTCAAACTATGTTATTTATTGTTTTCCAGACACTTTTATTCATTTGCTTACATTATTTATTGATACAGCGTTTTTACTTCCATCTCTACTGATCTTTTAAATATCTTTATTCATGCCTCCATTTCCATGGTTCTTTCCTCAGTTCAGACCTTCATCTTTTGCCTTAACACGTAATGATTTCTTCTTCCCTACCCTTACTGTACATTATGTGTATTTGTATTACATTTCTTTCTGTATTATGTCTTTTTTTTCTTTTGTTTTTAGGGATATGGAAGTATAAGTGGGGAATGAATAAAAATATGTCCTTTAGTGTTTTTCCTATTTTGAAATAATTCCTCTTAAATAACTTAAAATTTATAAGCTGATGTAAAGTTACATGTTGAACAAAGACCGCAAATGTTAATACGAATTATTGGTGCAAGACAAGTAAATGTTAAGTTGTAATTGCTTATGCCTTGCATTTCAGATTTTGTTAGTGGAGCACTAAATAAATTTAAATCTAACAGAACACCTTCTATTACACCTCAACAAGAAAGAATTGGTAGGTATTTATTATATGCATTTATTTTAATTAAAATTTGTATAGTATTCTATAAAATATAATTACAATAATAATTATTTAACATATTAGTTAATCAAATTTAATCAAATCAAATATTATTTTTAAGAGACATACTGTACTATATATACTATGTTGTGACATTGCCAATTACATAGGCTATAATGAACCCAGCATTGTAGGCAAAAATTTTTTTAGTCTGTTATGTCTTTAATCTTCTTAATCATGCTTTTCTGTTTGTAATTTAGATGCTATTGAGCATGTGAAAATAGTTCAACCTCATTTTTATCTTAGGACTAGAAGTTCATTATTGTGTATTTCAACTTTTTATCCTAATTTGCTGTGGCTGCAATTATTCAGCCAGTAAGAGGCAACATGATCTTTTGTTTTCTAGAGTGAAGAAATGAACTGGTTAATACTCAACTATGATGAAAAGCAAAAATAATATTTAGATTAGTTTTTGTTTCAACTCCTTGATTGTAATTTCTTCCTTAAATTAATGTTTTTTTAATATATATCATATGCATCTTTTAGTCTATTAGATTTAAGTAACTGCTCTCTCTTAAGAGTCCTGCCTCTGCGACTTCCTTATTTTCATTTAAGGAATTGCAGAGTGTTTTAGTTAACATCTGTTTAACTGATAATGTAAATATATCCTCATTTTTTGTTTAGCTTTAAGTAATAGCTTTATAAGAAGAAATTATGTAAAGCTTTTGTATGTTGTCAACTCTGCAGTAGAAACAACAAGTTGGTTTTGTTTTGATATTTTTTCAGCCCAGCTGTCTGTATCACCGGTGATTCTTACACCAAATGCTAAACGTAAATTGCCAGTAGATTCTTCTCATGGTTTCTCAAGTAAGAAAAGGAAGGCCATCAAGCATAATTTTAACTTTGAGCTGTTGCCAAGTAATCTCTTCAATAGCAGTTCTACACCAGTATCAGGTAGCAAATAGAATTTATATAAATGAATTGTAAACATTAAAATGGGTGCCTATTCCAGGCACAGTGCAATTTCATATGAATAATACCACCCTAAGGAACTGCAACTGTATTCTGTGTTTTATCAAATTTATGAATTTTTATAAAACCCCCTGCCTTTTAAAATAGATACTGTTTCAATATAGTGTGTGTATCTGTGTGTGTTATGACCACATCTATTGAAAGTTATGATAACCCAGAGTAGTAGTTTGGGCTTCTGGTGATAGCATTGGTGCTTAGGTTTTATGTGATTAGACATCCTGAATCCTGCTATAGGTACTTCTGGGTCTATAGCTGTGGCTTTATTGCTGTCATTTGTTGAATTGAGGTTGCCAGATGTTTGATCATCTCTGATTCCCAAGTGGGAGTGTTACTATTGCAGGTTATGGTTTGAAAATGAGGGTATTTTTAAAGTTTTAGACTCAAGTACCTTTTGTAAAAGCTTTAGAACTTTGTTGACGCTGTTCCTTGTGCCATGGCTTCCAGATCCCTTACCAGCCCAGCCATTTTCTTCCAAATTAACAACAAGTTCTAATGTGGCCAACCAGAGCCTTCAGAGAATAATAGAATATGATCACGCTAATCCGAAGATTAGTCTGGGTCTTAGATTGAATTGGCTCTTTTAGCATATACAGAATTCAAGTTGGCTTATATTAACCTTATGATCAACCAAAAATGAAATGAAACTCTAAACCCAGGGTCCTCCATCTCATTTATTTTACATTTAGTCAAAATGTGAGTGATCTCTGATTATTTTAGATTTTTATTTTGTTGGTTTCAGACAATGTTAAGTTTCATTTTTAATTCATTGTCTGAGTTATATGAGTTCTTCCCCAAAGCCTCTCTTTTTTCTGTTGTCCAAAAGGGTTCTTATTTGTTTTTATTGAGAAGTTGAGCGGAATAGCAACTTGAGGTTTTCCAGAAGAAACCACTTCACAGGTTCTCTAGGGCTCATTGAAATGTGATGATAGTAACTCTGAAGCTTATGTCTATAGCTTTTGCAGTGTTCACAGGTTGGAGACTTAAACTTTTTTAAGTCACATAGTTCAGTTTTTTTTTTTTTTTTGAATATTTAAGAGGCTTTGCAGTTTGGAGTACTTTTTCCAAATGGCAAATGGGAATTGTAGTTCTACCTGCCTTTGCTTATTAGCATTGCATCTTCCCCAAGATGAACATACTGATTCCTTCTTCTCCTCCTGCAAGCTCCCAAAACAGAGGTTAAACAATCCGTGCTATTTTTAGTTTGAGCTTGCCTAATCAGTGAATTTTCTTTATAAAAAAAATTAAAAATTCAACAACAGTAATTCTATTATTTTTACACCATTTTTCTTTGACCCTACTTTCTCAGCTACAATTCAACAAATTCCATATGCAAAATTGAAAATAGATTGATTTCTATGTTTAGATTGTAACAAATATGATGCTTTTTAAAATATATAAAGGCAACATTAGTCTGTAGTCCATAGAGTATCTATTCATAATTTTCTTCTTTTTTTTTTTTTTTTTGAGACAGAGTTTTGCTCTTGTTGCCCAGGCTAGAGTGCAATGGCACGATCTCAGCTCATTGCAGCCACCACCTCCCAGGTTCAAGCAATTCTCCAGCCTCAGCCTCCTAAGTAGCTGGGATTATAGGTGCCCGCCACCACACCTGGCTGATTTTCTTTTGTATTTTTAGTAGAGACAGGGTT